TATTCATAAATTATTAGTTCTAAATTATTATATAGTCGTTGGGTTTATTATAAGTATTATGTCATTTAATACAGTCAACCGGACATTAATTCTGACATTCGATATAATATGTAGGTAAACGACCGTATACTTCCGAGCGCGCGGTTAGTACTGAACTTAGCAAGTACCTACTGCGCGTTCGCTCTGTCGGATTGTGACGTCACTTCACAAAGAACGAGCGGGTAAAAATTTAAAAAAAATTACGAATCTTCAAAACGTTATAACTTTCGTGTTTCTGCAGCAATTTGGATGAAACAAAAACTATTGTTATTTTCATAAACATAGCTTTAAAGCTATATAGGTTTTATTGTCAAATCAGAACATGTTGGTGTGACCCATTCCGCACGGGCTGTCACACGACTAAGTTATTAAATATGATTATCTAGCGAATTATTAACGTGTCCTATCATAAACAAATTAAGAAACTTATTAAAATGTCCACAAAACCAAAAAAAAAACAACAATTAAAACTTAAAGGACGTGTACGCGAAAAACTAAAATTAGGTCAAGCGACTCATGAACGAGCGTCGGCGTCGGACTAAGTGACGTACTTTCGTAATAATCGTCGCACGCGCCAGAGGTAAATATGAATTTCGACACCCCGTCCCATTTCTTGTCACTTCGCGCATAGAGTTAATTATTTAAGTCCTTTATTTTAAGTAAATTTTTCGCTTGAATTTGTTTTCATACACCCACAGCGCGCGGTCCCTTTGTTTTTAATTTCGCGCATAAAATTATGCCTTAAATTGTTAGCTGTAAGTACATTTTTTGCTTGATTTTTTCTTTATTTGAGTAATTTGGATTGGCAACGTTTAAACTAGGTATCAAATGCAATGGGTCTTTGACCTTCTAGTATTCATCAAGTGATATCTGTATGCATTTACATGATGTTATTTAATATTAAAAAGCAAAATAATGCTACCACGACTAGAATGTTAATTGTTATATTTTATTTATTTATTTATTTTATTTTTCATTTAATATGATAATTTTATCGTCACTCGGTATATTGCCGTGTAGTGGCGGTTAAGAATATCCACTACCCCATATCTTCCCGTGGGTGTCGTAAGAGGCGACAGAGGGAAACTGAGGCAGAGGATGGGCAGCAGCATCTTTCTGATAACAGCCAAAAACCAATATAAAAACTGCGGTTGCTAACCCGCTTGCCAAGCGTGGCAACTATGGCAATATAGCCCCCTTGAAATTAACGAAGAGACGGCCCCCAGTCCCCGGCGACCCCGCTATTCCTGGCTACGGTGGCGACCATGGTAACGGTGGTGCAGGGGGTGCTAACAATATCCGGTCGAGGTTCGGTTGCCACCTACGACGACTCGCCCTGGCAACTTATAACGCACGCACCCTGGGGACTAACGAGAAGATTCTGGATCTGGAAGAAGAGATAGATTATAGGACTATCCGAGGTTCGAAGAGAGGGGGAGGACACGGTAATCCTCGAATGCGGCAACTTGCTCTATCACCGGGAGGGCGACCATCTGTCCCAAGGAGGTGTCGGATTTATCGTCCACAAGTCTCTCGTTAACAACGTTGTAAAGATCGAGAGTGTGTCGACGAGGGTTGCGTACCTTATACTCAGAATCACCAAACGGTATTCGCTGAAGGTCATACAGGTTTACGCACCAACCTCGGCACACCCCGTTGAGGAGGTGGAGGAAATGTATGAGCTAAGTGTATGAGGATATCTCTAGAGCCATGCATTCATCCAAAACATTATACGGTGTTAATGGGAGACTTCAACGCAAAACTAGACACAAGAGAGAACGGTGAGCTGAAAGTAGGGAGATTCGGAATAGGGCAACGGAACCCGAGGGGCCAACAGCTGGCCGACTTCATGGAGAAAGAGGGACTCTTTATGATGAACTCTTTCTTCCAGAAGCGGCCCCACAGAAAGTGGACCTGGTCGAGCCCCGACGGTTCGACAAAAAATGAGATTGACTTCATTATGACGACCAGACGACAACTGTTCAGTGATGTCTCAGTGATCGCGAGGGTGAAAACCGGCAGCGATCACCGAATGGTAAGGGGCACACTGAACCTAAACGTTAAGTTGAAGAGGTCACGTCTAATGAAGTCAACGCTCCGTCCCCCTCGTGCTCTAATCCAAAGTCCCGAAACCTTTCAGCTCGAGCTACGAAACCGTTTTCAGTGCCTAGAAGATTGTAATGCAGTGGACGATATGAATGACAAGCTCGTGGGAACTGTCCATGCGGTCGGAGCTAAGTTTAGCAAGTCCCGCCGCAGAAGAACACAAAAACTCTCCAATCAAACTCTTAATCTCATGGCTGTTAGACGGGATATGAAGCTGCAATCTTCAGCAGATTTGACAGCATACAGGCAACTGAACAGACAGATCTCTAAATGCATGCGGCGGGACTTACGCAACTTTAATACTGCTCGTATTGAAGAAGCTATCGAGCGGAACCCTGGTTCCGCTCGATAGCTTCTTTCCTCCTAAGTCTTTGCTACAGATCTGTATGCCGGAAAGAGCCAATTGTCGAAGCTGAAAACCGAATGTGGTAGCGTCGTTTCCGGGACACCTGAGATTTTGAGTGAGATTGAGAGGTTCTATGGGCAGCTGTACACATCATCGTTGGAGCCACACGCAAGTGTGAGTAACGATCCAAGAGCGAGTTTTATCCGACACTATTCTGATGATATCCCGGACGTCAGTCTGAGCGAGCTTAGAATGGCTCTCCAGCACCTTAAAAACGGCAAGGCCCCAGGCGAGGATGGAATTACAGAGGAGCTTCTGAAAGCGGGTGGAAAACCGGTATTTGAAGTCCTTCAGAAGCTCTTTAAGTCCGTCCTCCATGGTGGCATTACACCGGAGGCGTGGAGCAGAAGTTCGGTGGTCTTGTTCTTCAAGAAAGGTGACTACGCTCTCTTGAAGAACTACAGACCAATTTCTCTTCTGAGCCGCGTCTACGTGCTGTTTTCGAGAGTCATTACGAATCGTCTCGCGCGCAGTCTTGACGACTTCCAGCCTCCCGAACAAGCCGGTTTCCGAAAGGGCTTTAGCATCATAGACCACATACATACCCTTCGGCAAACTGTACAGAAGTCCGAGGAGTACAATTTGCCACTATGTCTGGCGTATGTGGACTATGAGAAAGCCTTTGATTTCGTCGAAATTTGGGCGGTGCTGCAGTCCCTTCAGCGGTGCCAAGTTGACTGTCGGTATATCGATGTACTGAAGTGCTTGTACAGTAGGGCTACGATGGCTATCCAAGTACAGAACCAGAGTACGAAACCTATCCAATTGCAGTGAGGTGTAAGACGGTGACGTTTTATCCCCGAAACTCATCACCACTGCATTGGAAGACGTTTTTAAGCTTCTGGACTGGAAAGGATACCGTACCGTGCTTTGTGGCATTCCTTGGGGGAGGCCTATGTTCAGCAGTGGACTTGTGAAGGGCTGTAATGATGATGATGATTATATATATCACATTATAATCATGCTTCGTAGATTAAGGACCACATTATCCACTTACCGTCAGGTAGACTGTTTTCGTTTTTACCCTTATTCTATAAAAATAAATAAATAGGGACTACTGCGTCCTAACATTTTGTCCAATAAACAATATATAATACAATCTATAATCCACTGTTCGAAGTGGTGTTGGTAAATATCTTTTTCTATTTTAGTCTGAAAATATTTAAACAATATAAATTAGGTTGTGATATTCCACTCGTTTTTAGATTTTAGAAAGAGTAAATTTTTTTTTACTCTTTCTAAAATCAGATATGTTTATTACTTACTAAAGTTGGCAACAATAATATGTTTGACATAAATATTAGGGTAAAGGTGTACCAATATAATGGAATATTTTTTATATCGAAACTAGCTGTTTCCCGCGACTTCGCTCGCGTGTTAGGGTTTTTATGTTTTTGCGCGGAACCCTAATTCTTTTTCTAAAATAAAAGTAGCCTAAGTTACTCCTTACGAAATCAGCTATCTGCCAGTGAAAGTCCCATCAAAATCGGTCCAGCCGTTTCGGAGATTAGCCAGAACAAACAAACAGACAGACAGACAGACAAAAATTTTAAAAATTGTATTTTAGTTATAAGTACCGTATATACTTTCATATGCATTTATTAAAAAACTGTAATTTTGATATTACAAACAGACACTTCAATTTTATTTATTTGTATAAATAAATAAAATTGAAGTAACTGCTTGGACAAGTTTCTTTTGTTGCTTTGTAGTCACTGCCCTTGAACACTCACTTCATTTGCATAGCTTGTGCATTGTTGTTACTGTTCTAAACTAATTTTTGATAAAATATAAAAAATACAGTTTACCAGGTGTTCATGAAATGCATGGCAGTCAGTATTAGACATGAAGAATATTAGACCTTTTTGTAAATTGACAAACCCTGAAGTGAAATTTAGTAAAATTGTATGAATAGCACATTGTTGTAATTGTAGTATTATAATTATGTACTATATACATAAGTACTTTACTTGTGATGAAAGCTGGTTGTAATTGAATGACATGGTTTTGTTATAAAATTTTAATTTTAGATTTTCTCTACTCATAATACTCACATTGAGTAGGACTTGTTCTTATAGATACACAGTCACTGTGATATTTGCAGACATTGTGCAGCATTAAACTAAACCCAACACTGTGTCTGATAGTATCAGATGTTTATGATAGTCTTCAAAGTCTTCATATTTCAAAATAGTATAAAATAAAGTCCCCTATATGCATCTGTGTATTTGCTTGAAACTTTCAAAATCCATCTAGTAGAGATGAATTTTCATGTCGATAGTGGAAAAATAATGGCATTTTGTGAATTACTTGTAAAAAGATAAAACTTTAGCTACTTGTGTGCTACAAAGTAAAATTACCATCTATAATTTTCAAAAATAATATAAATATAGCTATCAAATTATTTTTTGTAATTAGCCATGTTTTTTCTATTATTCTGGATGTGCAGGGGGTGGAGCGAGGGGGTGGTGGCGGGGGTGGCGCGGGCGCAGGCGGTGCGGAAGCGGCGCTCAATGGCGCCGACGAGCCGCCCCGCAAGCGCCCCAAGCTCCTGTCCGAAGATGCGCACACATTGCGCAAGCGGATACTCGAGTACAAGTTGCTGCGACTGAAGAACCTGCGTGAAAGGTGAGCCACTTGGCCTTTTGGCACCATTGTCGCGCGTCGATGGACGCGTCGCCGCTCTAGCGCCGCGCTCGGTTGCAGGTTCACGGAGCAACTGAGCGAGCTGTACTTCCTGCAGGCGGGTGGCAACATGATGGATTACGCGGCGTGGCGCAAGCGGCCGCCTGCACCGCAGCTCGTCGCGTTCCTCGAGGCGCGACGCCCGCCGCCCGCGGCCCCGCCGCCGCCCGAACCTCCGCCCGCCCCCACGCCGCCGCCCGCACCCGCACCAGCGCCGCCTCCCGCCGAGGCGCCTGTGCTTGCACTCGCGCCCCCTTCGGCACCATCAGTGGCGCCCGTTCCCGCGCCTGCACCGGTTCATGCGCCGTCACCCGTCGCAGAGCCGACCACGTCCACCTCACCAGCGAAGGCCACCGCTTCCGCGTCCGCGTCAGCCGCGGACGAGATGGTTGAGAAGGCCAAGCAGGAGGCGTACGTGGCGGCGCGAGTGGCCGAGCTGGCGCGCGCCGGCCTGTGGACGGAGCGTCGCCTTCCGCGCGTGCTGGAGCCGCCGCGCCCGAAGACCCACTGGGATTACTTGCTCGAGGAAATGGCCTGGCTCGCCCAAGATTTTGCACACGAGCGCAAGTGGAAGAAGCAAGCCGCCAAAAAGGTATTATTCTAACAAATCGGAAATTGCTTTTACTCATTTGTTTACTTGATTAATGTTTTATATGATATTTTCAGTGTGCAAGGGCGGTACAAAAATATTTCCAAGACAAAGCTCTCGCCGCACAGAAGGCTGAAAAAGCACAAGAACTACAGCTGAAAAAAATTGCAGCATTCGCGGCTAAAGAAATTCGAACATTCTGGTCTAATGTTGAAAAAGTAAGAATGTCTTCATTAATTAACTATCTTCTTTCTGATATTATAATCTTATTTTATAATTAAATTAAATTACACCTATTTATTTTTTAGTTGGTAGAATGGAAACGAGTGCGGCGTGTAGAGCGTGCGCGAAAGGAAGCCCTAGATGAACAACTGAGCTACATTGTGGACCGCACGGAACGCTACTCGCGGCAGCTGGCCGCCAACCTGAACCGCACGGCGGATACGCGGGCCGCGCCCGACACGCCGCCCTCCGACGACGAGTTCCAGCCGCGCGGCTGCTCCGACGACGACGAGGAGACCATCGCGGCCGCCGAGCGCGAGGCGGCGCACGACGCCGCCGACCACCGCGACGAGCTGGAGGCGCTGCGCCGCGAGTCGCACCTCGACCTGGGCGATCTGCTGCCGCCCGGCTACGTCCCCGCGCACTCGCCGCCGCCTTCCGACTATGGCCCCGACGACGACTCCGCCGACGACGAGGACACCATTGCCGAACAGGAGCGCGCCGAGCGTCCCGAGGACACGGCGGCGGAGGTCGCCGCCCTGCAGGACGAGGCGGAACTCGGCCTCGACGAACTTTTGAAACGCTATGCCGGCCCGCCTCCTGACCGGACCGTCGACGACACCGACGCTTCTACCGTCACCGAGGTCGACGGCGACACGGACGACGACAAAAATGACGAGGACAACGATGACGAGGAAGAGGACGATTCTGATGATGATACTCAAAGTACGATGTCCGATGAGACGTCTACGTCGGAGGCGCTCGAGGCGCTCATGGAAACCGAACCGAGCATCGGAGTCGAAGGTGAACAAAAAGAGAAGAGCTCGGAGGTGGGGACGGAGGCGGGGGTGAAGGCGGAGGCGGGCGAGCAGAAGGTGGAGGCGGCGGCGTCGCTGGCCGCGTCGCTGCAGCCCACCGGCACCACGCTGTCGGAGACGGCCGTGGGCACGCCGGTGCCGCGCCTGCTGCGCCACGCGCTGCGCGAGTACCAGCACGTGGGCCTGCACTGGCTGGCCACCATGTACGCGCGGGGCCTCAACGGCATCCTGGCCGACGAGATGGGGCTGGGCAAAACCATCCAGACCATAGCGCTGCTGGCGCATCTGGCGCTCGAGCATCGCGACTGGGGCCCGCACCTCGTGGTGGCGCCCACCTCAGTTGTGCTCAACTGGGAGATGGAGTTCAAGAAGTGGTGCCCTGCCTTCAAGATTCTCACCTATTATGGGACGATAAAAGAGAGAAAGTTGAAACGTGTTGGGTGGACGAAAGCAAACTCTTTTCATGTGTGTATAACTTCTTATAAGTTAGTAGTGCAGGACCATCAAAGTTTTCGTAGAAAAAAGTGGAAATACCTTATTCTTGATGAAGCTCAGAACATTAAAAACTTCAAATCACAAAGGTGGCAGATGTTACTAAATTTTCAAACAGAAAGGTGAGTTTATACACAATTTTTCCTATACATTATTATCTGAGTTATATACAAAGTTTTCTCATCTAGTTGGGCTGTTTAAATATATAATTGTAAACGAAAGATATAAATATATATAAATATCAATTAAATAAAATAAATACATAAAAATACATAAGTAAATAAAATTCCAACCAGATGGAAGCCCTCGGTAGGGGAGACCAAACGGCCGAGGGTTAGGGGGAAAGGGAAAGAAACCGGCGGGCGGTATCAAGGAGCACCGCCTTCTGCATTTAAGCCTGGAGCGGTCCGTCACGGAGTCCCAGTCGCCTCAGATGTCCCGAGAGGCTGACTGGGATTAATCCGTTCGCAGAAACGACCACACGAATAATTTCGGTCGGCAGATCACCCCTCATGTCGGTAATCTCGTGAGCCAGGTCCAGATATTTTGTGAGCTTATCTGTTTCGGCTTTCACGAGGTTCTCGTCATAAGGAATGCTAATGTTGACCAAAAATATCGTTTGATTTCTTATATTTACGCGAACACTACACATTGAATAAAACAGTTCTGTTAAGCTGGAATGGTCATTTGGGCAAAATCACTTAAATTTTTGCTAAATATTTAGTGCTCATTTAGTGCTAATTTAGTGCTGCAAATTTAAATTTCACGCCAAAATAGCTTGATCAAAAATGAGAAAACTGCTAGCTTTTAATTAAGCTAGCAGTGTTCTACCTATTAAAACGATAACCGCTTAATACAGCACCAAATAGAAGCATCAATAATTTAGTGCTCATTTAGTGCTGCCGATGTACGCAAAAACAAATATTGGGAAAATATATATTTTTTAATATCATAAATTCTGCTACTTTGACATCTTTAACATCAAGTTCATTCTGCATAGATTGGACCAAAATTAATAATTAAAAAAGCTGAAGGTACTCTGGGTTGTCTGAGATCGGGAAGTCAATCACATCAGTCCCCTGTGACCACAGATGCTGTAAAGCACCCGAAACGTCGGGATTTAATAAAAATAAGATAAATAAGTTAATTAAACGCGAAAAATTCCGTAAAAGTAGTTTTATTCAAATATATCCTCGGCTTATTCGCAAGAATAGTCCTGTCTGTGATAATGGCCTGGTCTCAGTAGAGCCTGGCGCGGTCATTTTCGAGCACTTCTTCCGGCATGTACTTATTATAATATGGCAGTTTCCGATCCACTAGACCATATTTCAGAGCGAGCTGGTGTAGAATCCTGGCTACTAAGTTGTGTCTGTGCCGATACCCAGAGTTAGAAAGCGCCAAACAACCGGAGATGACATGCCTAAGTGACTCACCGGGATGGCGATAAGCTCGACAGATGTCGACGGCGCCATCCTTTAGGATGTATTTTCGATAGTTGTAGGTCTTAATAACCTGATCCTGTATTGCACAGACAAAACCCTCGGTTTCCCCAAAGAGGTCACCAAAACGTAGCCAGTGGAGGGAGGCAGCTGTGTCTACGAAAGGTTCATGTAGAGCCTCCCGTGGAACTTCTCCTTCCATACAGTCTCCTGGTCGGAAATGCACTGTACTGCTGGGTCTTGCCTTTGCTCGTTGGCCAAGGATAGAGGAGTAAGCCCTTTATCACACGAAATGACGTCTCTGTAGAATGGATCATCCGATCTCGCCAGAAAGTAATTACGGAGGCTGCACACTACAACTATGCATGGTGAGAGTGCTCAAAAAGCCGCGCCCAACATGTTTCCGCGGCAAGTACAGGCTCATTACTAACGAGCTCGGGTGATGCATCCTGTGGGACGTTATAACAGTGGGGACTTTTCTATCCAGAGCTTTCAGTTTGGTCTGAGTCCATCTGAGTATGCCGAAGGTATATATGAGGATAGGCATGACTCAACCGTTATATGCGTGTGTCTTATTCACGCCCGACAAGACTGTTGAGCACTTTTGTCAAGTATGCATAAAACTCATTGCAAACTGACTGTTTTATTTGTGGGAGGTTTCCATGTTACTTTGATATTCTTCTTTACGAAGCGTGAAAATTATCGGTATGATTATTTTTAAATAAAACTAATTTTACGGATTTTATCGCGTATATTAACTTATTTTTATATTCCCGACGTTTCGGGTGCTTTCCAGCACCCGTGGTCACGGGGGCTGAGTTGTTTGACGTCCTGCTGTCATAATTAGCCCGGCTACATTCAGTTTTTTAATATTAATTTTTGGTTCGATTTACGCAGAATGAGCTTACAGTATCTTGAAGTCTAGCAGTGGTATACTTGGGTTTGGATTTGATTTTATTAATTATGGGATCCCAAGCAGATGGCAGCACCCATCCATCTTCTCTATTGAAATTAGGATGTTTTTTAATTTTAATAGCCTCGCGAATCATCCTTGGGAGGAATCGGTGTTCTTTTGCGAGGATTTGTGGTCTATCAAATCTAATGTAATGGCGGGGACGATCTTGAACATGTTCACAAACTGCAGACTTCCCGATACGTCGGTGCTTCACGTCAGCTATATGTTCTTTAACGCGGGTTTTAATAGATCTTTTTGTTTGTCCTATGTACGTGCCGTGTAGTAGCGGTTCAGAATATCCACTACCTCATATCTTCCCGTGGGTGTCGTAAAAGGCGACAAAGGGAAACAGGCAGGAGATGGGCAGCAGCATCTTCCTGATAATAGCCAAAATAACAATAAAAAAAAACTGCGGTTGCCAACCCGCTCGCCAAGCGTGGCAACTATGGCAAATACCCCCCTATGAATGTAACAAAGAGACGGCCCCCAGTCCCCGGCGGCCCCACTATTCCTGGCTACGGTGGCGACCATGGTAACGGCGGGGCAGGGGGTGCTAAGAATCTCCGGCGGAGGTTCGGTTGCCACCCTGAGGACTGACGAGAAGATTGTGAAGCTGGAAGAAGAGATAGACAAGTTACGCTGGCATATTATAGGCTTATCCGAAGTCCGAAGAGAGGGGGAGGACACGGTAATCCTCGAATCCGGCAACTTGCTCTATTACCGGGAGTGCGACCATCTGTCTCAAGGAGGTGTCGGATTTATCGTCCACAAGTCTCTCGTTAACAACGTTGTAAAGATTGAGAGTGTGTCGACGAGGGTTGCGTACCTTATACTCAGAATCACCAACCTCGGCACACCCCGATCAGGAGGTGGAGGAAATGTATGAGGATATCTCTAGATCTATGCATTCCTCCAAAACCCAAAATACGGTGTTAATGGGAGACTTCAATGCAAAACTAGGCACAAGAGAGAACGGTGAGCTGAAAGTGGGGAAATTTGGAATAGGGCAACGGAACCCAAGGGGCCAGCAGCTGGCCGACTTCATGGAGAAAGAGGGACTCTTTATGATGAACTCTTTCTTCCAGAAGCGGCGCCACAGGAAGTGGACCTGGTCGAGCCCCGACGGTTCGACAAAAAATGAGATTGACTTCATTATGACGACCAGACGACAACTGTTCAGTGATGTCTCAGTGATCGCGAGGGTGAAAACCGGCAGCGATCACCGAATGGTTAGAGGCACACTGAACCTAAACGTTAAGTTGGAGAGGTCTCGTCTAATGAAGTCAACGCTCCGTCCCCCTCGTGCTCTAATCCAAAGTCCCGAAACCTTTCAGCTCGAGTTACAAAACCGTTTTCAGTGCCTAGAAGACTGCAATGAAGTGGACGATTTGAATGACAAGCTCTTGGAAACTGTCCATGCGGTCGGAGCTAAGTTCTGCAAGACCTGCCACAGAAGAACACAAAAACTCTCCGATCACACTCTTAATCTCATGGCTGTTAGACGGGAGATGAAGCTACATTCTTCAACAGATTTGACAGCATACAGGCAACTGAACAGACAGATCTCCAAATGCATGCGGCGGGACTTACGCAACTTCAATACAGCTCGTATTGAAGAAGCGATCGAGCGGAACCAAGGCTCCAAAGTCTTTGCCAGAGATCTGTCTGCCAGAAAGCGCCAACTGTCAAAGCTGAAGACAGAATGTGGCAGCATCGTTTCCGGGGCACCTGAGATTTTGAGTGAGATTGAGAGGTTCTATGGGCAGCTGTACACGTCATCGTTGGAGCCGCACGCAAGTGTGAGTAACGATCCAAGAGCGAGTCTTATCCGACATTATTCCGATGATATCCCGGACGTCAGTCTGAGCGAGATTAGAATGGCTCTCCAGCACCTTAAAAACGGCAAGGCCCTAGGCGAGGATGGAATTACAGCGGAGCTTCTGAAAGCGGGTGGAAAACCGGTACTTGAAGTCCTTCAGAAGCTCTTTAATTCCGTCCTCCATGGTGGCATTACACCGGAGGCGTGGAGCAGAAGTGCGGTGGTCTTGTTCTTCAAGAAAGGCGACAACGCTCTCTTGAAGAACTACAGACCGATTTCCCTTCTGAGCCGCGTCTACGTGCTGTTTTCGAGAGTCATTACGAATCGTCTCGCGCGCAGACTTGACGACTTCCAGCCTCCCGAACAAGCCGGTTTCCGAAAAGGCTTTAGCACCATAGACCACATACATACCCTTCGGCAAATTGTACAGAAGTCTGAGGAGTACAATTTGCCACTATGTCTGGCGTATGTGGACTATGAGAAAGCCTTTGATTCCGTTGAAATATGGGCTGTGCTGCAGTCCCTTCAGCGATGCCAAGTTGACTGTCGGTATATCGAAGTGTTGAAGTGCTTGTACAGTAGGGCTACGATGGCTATCCGAGTACAGAACCAGAGTACGAAACCTATCCAATTGCAGAGAGGTGTACGACAGGGTGACGTCATATCCCCGAAACTCTTTACCGCTGCATTGGAAGATGTTTTCAAGCTTCTGGACTGGAAAGGATACGGTATCAACATCAATGGCGAGTACATCACTCACCTTCGATTTGCCGACGATATAGTCCTTATGGCAGAATCGCTGGAGGACCTAAGCACTATGCTCAATGACCTCAATAGTGTTTCCCAACGGATAGGTCTTAAGATGAACATGGACAAAACAAAGATCATGTTTAATGTCCATGTCACACCTATGCCGGTAGTTGTTGGGAACACTAAGCTCGAAGTTGTTGACGAGTATGTTTACCTGGGACAAATAGTCCGACTAGGTAAGTCCATCTTCGACCGAGAGGTCAATCGACGGATTCAACTCGGTTGGGCAGCGTTCGGGAAATTACGGCACATCTTCTCGTCAGGTATACCTCAAAACTTGAAAACGAGACTGTACACCCAGTGCGTGTTGCCAGTGATGACATACGGAACTGAGACGTGGTCCTTCACTGCTGGCCGGATGAGGAAGCTCAAGGTCGCTCAGCGAGCTATGGAGAGGGCTATGCTCGGAGTTTCTCTGCGTGATAAACTCAGAAATGAGGATATCCGCAGTAGAACTAGAGTGACCGACATAGCCCAACGGATTAGTAAGCTGAAGTGGCAATGGGCCGGCCATATAGCTCGAAGAACCGACAACCGATGGGGAAGAAAGGTTCTCGAGTGGCAGCCTCGTACCGGCAGGCGAAGTGTAGGGCGTCCCCCCACTAGATGGAGTGACGACCTGGTAAGATATGCAGGAAGTCGATGGATGCAGGTGGCTCAGGACCGTGCTTTGTGGCATTCTTTGTGGGAGGCTTATGTTCAGCAGTGGACTTGTGAAGGGCTGTAATGATGATGATGATGATGATGTACAAGAGACCACATTCACAATCCAGCTTGTACACTCCTGCATCTTGTAGAGGGATATGACACTTGACGGATGGTAAAAATTGACCAAACTTCTTCAGCGGCTTGAAGTAAGTTTTAATGGAAGCTCGCTTCAAGATGTAGCCAACCTTGTCTGTGACTCCTCTGACATAGGGTAGTACAGCAGGCACACGCTCGACTGTGGCTGGCTTCACTCGGTCACTGTGACGTAGGCGCGGGACCCGAAGCTTGTTGTCTTGCAGTACTTGCTCGACGTGCTGAAGCTCGGCGGCCAGATGTTTTCTGTCACAGATCCCTCGTGCTCTCTGAAACAAAGATTTTCCCACGGTAGCTAACTGTGAAGGATGATGGTGAGATTAACCATTTAAATATCGGTTGGTATGGGTATTTTTTCTGTACACAGTATGACCAATAGTGTTATCAGGATTTCGGATGACTAAAACATCTAGAGATCATAAAAAAGGATAAAGGATCCCATAATTAATAAAATCAAATCCAAACCCAAGTATACCACTGCTAGACTTCAAGATACTGTAAGCTCATTCTGCGTAAATCGAACCAAAAATTAATATTAAAAAACTGAAGGTAGCCGGGCTAACTATGACAGCAGGACGTCAAACAACTCAGTCCCCCGTGACCACGGGTGCTGGAAAGCACCCGAAACGTCGGGAATATAAAAATAAGTTAATATACGCGATAAAATCCGTAAAATTAGTTTTATTTAAAAATGTGTAGTGTTCGCGTAAATATAAGAAATTGGTATGATTATTTGTTTTTATAATTAATATGAATTTAAATTAAAACCTTTAACCGACGAGCGTGTATGCGTAGGTATATGGATGTGGAGGAAGCGAGAGAGGTGTCAGGATCGTGCCAAATGGAAGTCATTAGTCTCTGCCTACCCCTCTGGGTGACAGGCGTGATAAAAACTATATATGTATATATATTTGGTGCGCGATAGGAACTTTCTTGGTTCGGACACGAGCGCGGACCTGAGGTCAATTTAGTAGTAGCTCAATGTGTTACACGCTTTTTTCGTAAACATTAAAATTTCGCCGTTAATGCACTCCACAAAATAATAATAAGTGAGTTCAGAGATTATATATGGTAAACGTCTAAGAACTAGCAATGTTTTCAAGAGAGCATTTCAGGTAGCTTAGTTTTTAGATATGTCTTGTCTTTAATTCACCTGGCCAGCTTACGGGCTAGCTGGCTGGCAATGGAGGTTAAGTAGTCTCGGCTCTGTCGATCTAGAAATTCCTTCTTAAAATTATTTGAATAATTATTATTTAGCTCTCTACGGGTACGATGCGCACTAATGTACTCAACCTCCACCGCCAGTCATCTAGCCCGTTTGCTGGCTGGAAGAGTAAGAGAAAAGGTATATCTAAAAATTAGCCTACCTAAAATTCTCGTTTTCCCAACGTTGCTAGCTCCCATACTATAAATGATGTTTGATAATGTTTTGAATTGTGAGTAGTATGAGTAGTATGACACGTGCGCGTTGCAGGCGGCTGCTACTGACGGGCACGCCGCTGCAGAACAGCCTGCTGGAGCTATGGTCGCTCATGCACTTCTTGATGCCCGACGTGTTTGCATCGCATTCGGAGTTCCGGGAGTGGTTCAGCCCAGTAGCCGGCATTGCGGAGGGCTCTCAGTGCTACAACGATGCACTGGTACATAAAGTTTTATGCTTTCGAGAACTTGATGTATGAAGTATATTATTAATATACATTTTATTATTATATAATGTAACTGTCTATTTAGAATTTTAAATAATGCTGGCGGCAAATAGAAGGTTATCATTAAAAGATGTTTTACAAAAGATTGAGACACAAAAAAGAATTTAAAATTACCATTATTATTTTGCTTAAAAAAAGCTTAATAAAGAGCTATGGTAGCTTAGTCAGTGGGTTAGCACTCACTGTAAATTTCACAGTATGCAAGCAACCCATGTTTGATTCTCGCTGACACCAATGAGAATGTTAATTGCAATTTTAAGTGCTGATATACCACATGCTCTGCGGTGAAGGAATACATTGTGAGGAAACTGTTACTTTTAAAATTTATAATTACTTTTAATGAATGAAATATTGTTCTGTGGTGCGTCGGTGGCATAAAAAAATTCATTGCCCCATCTCAGTCTTGCGAGTGTCGTAAGAGGCGACTTGTTTATGCCATAAATATCTTGTTGTGGCTTCCCATCTATCTTGTTTATGGAAATTGTTAATTACGTAGAGCGGCGAGAGTTCAGACGATAGAGACTTCTGGTTCTGCGATAGTCAATTTGCTTGCCACGCATGTCAATTAAGATAAATCCTCTTCACAATGGGTGGGGCCTATGTCCAGCAGTTGAAGTTTACGGGCTGATGAAGAAGAAGTAGTTTTATTTATAATATATATATTTTTTATAGAGTAAGGTTGACTAACGAGCACAGTCCACTTGATGTTAAGTGGTTTCTGTGGCTCATAGACATCTACATCTATCCTCGGTTAAGAATCAAAATGAGGCATGCCATTATGCCTCATTTCCACTAAAAAGGGCTTTGGTTTTCTACACTCACCATACAAAACACACTCCACACTTTTATTTTATACTGGTATTCTGTGAGAGTGTGGTCCCGCCCCGTTTGGCCGAGCCATTTGTGCTGCAGCAATAATATAGTTGCAGTCTGCTTGTAGCACATAAAATAATATGTATTGTAGAAGATTTGTTAGCACATGATGCAGTGAGGAATGCGTGCGACGTGCAGGTGCGGCGGCTGCACGAGGTGCTGCGGCCGTTCCTGCTGCGGCGCCTGAAGGCGGACGTGGAGCGCCAGATGCCGCGCAAGTACGAGCACGTGCTCATGTGCCGCCTCGCCAAGCGCCAGCGCTTCCTCTACGACGACTTCATGGCGCGCGCGAAGTATGTCCTTGCACACAACTTATACAACAAACACTTACAGGTTTAATCAATATAAACCTATTACCACTTTTTGTTTATGCATTGAACTATACAGATGATTAATTTTTCTTCCCTTAAAAGCCTTGATTCTTCAAGCTACAATTTGTGATATTTTAGTACAATTTTCATTTATAAGCAAAAGTTATGAATTATCATTATCGTTACAGTCTATCAAAGTTGTTTTTTTTTTTTAAGGAATAAGGTGATAAGTGTATTTTTAATTATGATTCAAAATGCAGATGTGTGGTCACCCCTGAAAACTAAGAGAATAACTTGTATCTAGTAAAAAGGGTCTCTCATTCTTTACACTCACCATATGAAACAGCAGCATTGAGCTGCTAAAATAGCAGCTCAATGCTGCTGTTTCATACAGGTATTCTGCTAGAATGTGGTTCTTTCCTGGTCCAGTCGAACCATTTGTGCTACAACCATAATATAGCTGCAAAATTATTACGTGGTAGAGCCATGCTGCAGTTAGATTACTGCTATAGTTGTAGCATGAATGGGCTGGCTCAACCGGGGAAGGACCACGCTCTCACAGAATACCAGCGTAAAATAGCAGCATAACACTGCTGTGTTTCTTATGATGAGTGTAGAGAACTGGAGACCCTTTTTTACTGGAAATGAGGCATTCCAATTCGAGGATAGATGTAGATGTCTATGGGCCACAGTAACCACTTATAATCATGTGGACTGTGTGTTAGTTTGTCACAAAAAAAGTAGCTCCTCCATGTATAAAAATAAACATAGGCCTCTCTTAGTTTTTTGTTATTTCGTTTGAGTTTTCCCTTGGCGCCTTTTACGAAACTCACGGATTTTTTATAGAATACTAGCTATTCGCCTTGCCTTCGGTTGATTTAATGGATTTCGACAACAACATTATCTGCTGGGTCCAATTGTGACAAATCAAAATGTAGATGTGTTGTAACCCCAGAGGACTGAGATGGAATGTCTAATTTACAGTAAAAAGAGTATCCGGTTCTTTACACTCATTCTATGAAACACAGCAGTACTAAGCTGCGTTACATGATTATGTTGTATGTAACGAAACGACATCAAAATGGCGGCGCTCTCTCCGCTGCGCGCGATGTGTCATAGTTTTCACGCAACGTAACGAATTCTTCGATCTTTTAGCTAATGAGTGGTGGAAGTAAATTTTGGATATAGATAATAGATAAGTAGCTGCAACACCAAACTGTATCCTCTGATTTTTTATCATTAGTTGTCTGAATTACATCTCAGAATGGATTAATTTAAAGAAATGTAAAAAAAAAAAACAATGTATCGCGCTAGAGTGATGGTGTGTCGTGTGTTCGCAGGACGAAAGAGAGCCTCGCGTCGGGCAACCTGCTGAGCGTGATCAACGTGCTGATGCAGCTGCGCAAGGTGTGCAACCACCCGGACCTGTTCGAGGCGCGCGCGGTGAGCTCGCCGCTGCAGCTGGGCGCGCTGCAGCTGGCGGTGGCGGCGCGCGTGCTGGGCGCGGGCGCGGGCGCCTGGCGCGCGCTGCGGGCGGCGGCGCGCCTCGGCGGCGAGCTGGCGGCGCGCGAGGCCGCCGCGCCCGGCGCCTTCGCCGCGCACCGCGCGCGCCACCTGGCGCCGCCGCGCCGCGCCATCGAGCAGCTAGATCACGCACCGCCCGCAGTACGTATCCTACGGAAGCTTCGCCACAGCCCACCTTTGGCCAAAATAAAAACTTGTGTGCAGTTTACATGCGGTAAAAGCCCAACGTTCTGAAAACGAGATCAAGATAATAGTGGCACTGTATATTTTATTCTATCTTATACTCCCGCAAGTTAAATCCTATAGACGTATATTATGTTTGTCTCTATAAACAATAAGAAATATTATATACTAGTTATAACAAAAAGTTAATATAAACCTTAAATTTAAAAGTTTTCAAACCATTTATGTAATAAAAACTATAATAATAAAAAAAAAAACTAAAACTAGAATCTTAATTATCATATAGTCCTACTCCCCGCGGTATTTCATGCCAAGAACGCTGGCTGCGTTTCCCCGCTAAATGGCTATACTTAGCCTTTGAGCGAGGAAAGAACCAGCCCTCTTATCACCAGCAGTAACGACTAGCCGCGGATGGAGTTCCTTTAACCGCACGTGGACCCCACGGACCGATAGTAATTAATTTAAGTAAATTTTAAACTGAAACAGCTAGAATTCGACCTTTGGTCAGAATAGAATAAAATAAAATTCATTTTTTAATTGCCACTAGTTTGAAAAAAGACCCTCTATCCTAGGAAGAACCAGCAAGAAACTCACCCAGCAGGACTTTTTTTTTTAAATAAATTTTACAATATAAATGATTACAAACTATTTACAAAAATTATTTTAGAAACTGCTTGGAAGCGATCACCTCATTCCCAGGGGTTATCAACCATGTATTCATTTATACTATAATAACCCTTTTTATACAGTTTCAGCTTAAAAAAAAATTAAAATTGGTAATAGAGAGAGCCTGTACAATTTCCAGGACCTTGTTGTAATAGCGTATACATTGCCCCAAGAATGAATTACTGACTGTGTAGTCGAGAAACTGGTATCACTAGCTTGTGTTTGTTCCTAGTGTTTACAGACATTAAGTTGTATTTATAGCCAAAGACCGGGCAAAGTGGCGCACCTTGGGAATGACCTACGTCCGTCCAGCATTGCGTCGCGGCGGGCAATGATGATGATGCTGCATATTTATTATTACATTTTTAGATTTACCTAGGAATAATTGTTTTAGTATGATTGTTTACAGGTATTATTTTATCATTCGATTAAGGTGTAGTAGTAATATGTAAGAAATAAGAAATGCTTGGTTATATATGACCCACAGATGACAGATGAGGCACCGCGTCCGCCGGCGTGCGCGCTGCGGCTCCACTTGCGGCTGGTGGCGCGCGCGCCGCCGGCCGCGGCCGGGCCCGCGCCGGCGCCGGCGCCGCGCGCGCCGCCCGCCGCCGCCCGCTCGCCGCCGGCCGCCCCGCGCGCCGCGCCGCCCGCCGCGCCGCCCGCCGCCCGCGGCGCCAGCGCGCGCGCGGCCGCCTGGCGCCGCGCCTCGCTGCGCCGCCTGGCCGCCTGCAACGAGCGGCGCTGCTGGCACCTGCCGCTGTACGGCGCCGACCTGCGCGCCGCCGTGCACGTGGGCCCGCCAGCGCTGCCGCCGCGCGACCTCGCCGACGTGCTGCACGACATGCACGACATCATCGACAGGTCATCCACTACTCTCTACTACTTCTTACTATGTTCGCCAGTTGGTTGGTGGTGTTTCACCCCCGTGTCTCGGAAAGCATGTTAAGCCGTTGATTCTGCGCCTGAACTCTCCGGTCATATCGGATTACCGTCCCATCGGACTATGAGAGTGAGAAAATAAAGAGTACACCTGTACTTGCGCTGCTTATAATCTCGTCCTGCGCTTAATTACTATTATTGATCAGCCATCTAGTCAATAATAGTAATTAAGTCTCAGTAATTATAATATTGCCACCAGACAGGTGTCACAGTTGTTTGTCAGAAATTTAAATTGATTTGTTATGAAAATACTCATGTGGTTGCTTGAAATATTGAGTTAGGGATGGATTGAGGTGATATAGTCATGTAGATCGTGGTAGTGCTTTTGTTTCATATCCGGCTCAAAGAACCAAGAAGTTATACACCTTTGTTGTTAATAAATATAACAGATAAAATAAGAACTTAATAACAAGACTTTTCTGATAACTCGTGGATAATTCTTTCTCATTTGCACACCTGTCTTACTCATTAGCAAATGTAGATACAACCCCACAGAGAAATAATATTTTTAAAAGTAATTTTAATAAATATATTTTCTTTTCTAGAGGGGTTCTAAATCAGATTTTTATTGAATGATTTAGTCTTAAAAATAAAAACAAATTCAAGAAATTATTGTAATTCGTATCAGTGCAAATTTGCTATTAGGAAATGGCAAGCAATAAAACATTTTTTTCTATTAATAATGTACAAGGTTTGTGGAATTGTATTGCAATTTCTTTTTTAATGTACATGTTTTAAATTAATGTTTGTTTTTAATGTTTTTTTAATAATTTTTAAGGGTGAGATAAACAAGCATAAAAGTCCACCTGATGGTAAGTAGATGCTGTGGTCCATAGACATTTACATCCATTTTCAATAAAAAAATCAACAAGCAGTAAAAAAACAGAGCAGCAGCATTGAGCTATTATACTCTGGTATTCTGTAAAAGTTTGGTGCTTCTTCGGCCGAGCCGACTTGATTGTGCTGCAACATGTCTCTACCACATGTAAAATTTTAGTACATTTCTCATTATTTGTTAAAAGTTGTCAAGCTTATATTGTGAGGGGTAGGCGGTGAGTAACGTAGCGTGGTTGCGTGCAGGTTCAGCGTGTGCTGCATGGGCGCGCGCGCGGCGTGCTGCGAGGTGCGGTGCCGCGGCGGCGGAGCCGAGTGGCGCGCGTGGCGCCGGCGCGTCGCCGCCGCCGAGCGCGCCGCCGCCGCGCCCGCGCGCGCCGCGCTCGCCGCGCTGCACGCGCCCGCCGCGCGCCAGGCCGTCGCCTTCCCGCACCCGCGCCTGCTGCAGTACGACTGCGGTCAGTGCACCCTGCACACGCTCACACTGCACACACACAGACACAGTGGCGCGCGTGGCGCCGGCGCGTCGCCGCCGCCGAGCGCGCCGCCGCCGCGCCCGCGCGCGCCGCGCTCGCCGCGCTGCACGCGCCCGCCGCGCGCCAGGCCGTCGCCTTCCCGCACCCGCGCCTGCTGCAGTACGACTGCGGTCAGTGCACCCTGCACACGCTCACACTGCACACACACAGACACAGTGGCGCGCGTGGCGCCGGCGCGTCGCCGCCGCCGAGCGCGCCGCCGCCGCGCCCGCGCGCGCCGCGCTCGCCGCGCTGCACGCGCCCGCCGCGCGCCAGGCCGTCGCCTTCCCGCACCCGCGCCTGCTGCAGTACGACTGCGGTCAGTGCACCCTGCACACGCTCACACTGCACACACACAGACACAGTGGCGCGCGTGGCGCCGGCGCGTCGCCGCCGCCGAGCGCGCCGCCGCCGCGCCCGCGCGCGCCGCGCTCGCCGCGCTGCACGCGCCCGCCGCGCGCCAGGCCGTCGCCTTCCCGCACCCGCGCCTGCTGCAGTACGACTGCGGTCAGTGCACCCTGCACACGCTCACACTGCACACACACAGACACAGTGGCGCGCGTGGCGCCGGCGCGTCGCCGCCGCCGAGCGCGCCGCCGCCGCGCCCGCGCGCGCCGCGCTCGCCGCGCTGCACGCGCCCGCCGCGCGCCAGGCCGTCGCCTTCCCGCACCCGCGCCTGCTGCAGTACGACTGCGGTCAGTGCACCCTGCACACGCTCACACTGCACACACACAGACACAGTGGCGCGCGTGGCGCCGGCGCGTCGCCGCCGCCGAGCGCGCCGCCGCCGCGCCCGCGCGCGCCGCGCTCGCCGCGCTGCACGCGCCCGCCGCGCGCCAGGCCGTCGCCTTCCCGCACCCGCGCCTGCTGCAGTACGACTGCGGTCAGTGCACCCTGCACACGCTCACACTGCACACACACAGACACAGTGGCGCGCGTGGCGCCGGCGCGTCGCCGCCGCCGAGCGCGCCGCCGCCGCGCCCGCGCGCGCCGCGCTCGCCGCGCTGCACGCGCCCGCCGCGCGCCAGGCCGTCGCCTTCCCGCACCCGCGCCTGCTGCAGTACGACTGCGGTCAGTGCACCAGTGGCGCCGGCGAGCGATTGACTTTGACCACGTACTTGGTGTTGATGGAAAACTTGCATAATTTCGATGATTACTACTACTACTACTACTACTACTGATTTAATTGTTAATATCTAAATTGCACTAAATAGTATTTAGCTGATAGTGAGTAGTGGAGTAATGTGTCCGGTGTTTGTCGGTGTACAGGTAAGCTGCAGACACTGGATGCGCTGCTGCGGCGACTGAAAGCGGGTGGGCACCGCGTGCTCATCTTCACGCAGATGACGCGTGTGCTGGACGTGCTGGAGGCGTTCCTGTGCATGCACGGCCATGCCTATCTGCGGCTAGACGGCGCCACGCGCGTCGAGCAGCGCCAGCTGCTGGTGGACCGCTTCAACGCAGACGCGCGCCTCTTCGCCTTTATCCTGTCCACGCGCAGCGGTGGTGTGGGCCTCAACCTGACGGGCGCCGACTGTGTCGTGTTCTACGACTCGGACTGGAACCCCACCATGGACGCGCAAGCGCAGGACCGCTGCCACCGCATCGGGCAGACGCGCGACGTGCACGTGTTTCGCCTCGTCACCGCCGCCACCGTCGAGGAGAACATTCTGCGCAAAGCAGAGCAGAAGCGCATGCTGGGCCATCTCGCCATCGAGGACGGCCATTTCACCACCTCTTACCTGCGCCTCGTGAGTACACCCTCCACACGTACACGTAGCTTCACGCATCCAGACATTCCTTGCGCAAGTCGTGGATCTCACCGATTACAGTTTAAAATTCAGTGTCGTAAGAGACAAAAGGTAGATTATCCTTACAATGGAAGAGTTCCATCTTCAGAGAGTCTATAAGGAAGTTAGCAATAACTTTTTTAGTTTTATGTGTATGGTTAAGTTAAACAATGATTTTAGAGTTTTTGTTATGGCATATTTCTGGAGTCAGAAACTGTTATTTTTGTCTCTATTTAAGGACAAGTCTATTCCAGGGATAGTCACTACTGTGACAGCTTTGATTAGCCCATTGCCACTTCAATAATTGTCAAACACAAAAGGTTATGTCAGGAATTTTCTTTGACAGATGAAGATAAATATTTCATAATAACTGTTTGTCGATTTCATTCAGTTTTGATGACGTACCGGTAACGATTTGCTTAAGGCGATTGGCTTTATCGGTATACGCAGTTCTAGGTGATACCTCAAAAATGTAATTTTGTAAATAATATAATTATGAATTTTGCTAATAAAATAAATTGTTGTATGTAATTTTAGTCGAACATCAAAGAGTTGTTCGGCGGCGAAGCGGGCGAGGCGGGCGAGTCAAACGAGGCGAGTGAAGCTGGCGAAGCTGGGGAAGCGGGCGGAGAGCTGGAGAGCGCGCTGGCGGCGGCCGAGGACGAGGCGGACGCGGCGGCGGCGCGAGCGGCGCGCGCCGAGGCGCAGGGCGAGCTGGCCGAGTTCGACGACGCGCCGCCCGACGCCCCGCCGCACGCCCCGCCGCACGCCGCGCCGCCCGCCCGCACCGCGCGCCCGCCGGACGACGCGCGCAGCGCGGAGCTGGCCGAGCTCGCCGCGCTCATGAACCAGGTCATATCTGACTTTTTTAAATATTACAATATTATATTTTTATAAACAGCACAAAATCCATTACATATAAAAGTAAAGAAAAGTAACAATTTGTAAACTTCGCACACATCTTTGTAATAGACTCGTACTGTTATACTTTTGTCAGTGTCAAGTTTTTTATTTTTATAGGATAAGGTGACAAACGAGCATACAGTCCACCTGATGGTAAGTGGTTGCTGTGGCCTATAGATATCTATATTTATCCTCGTTTGCGAATCAAAATGCAGATGTATCACCCGTGAGGACCAAGATGGAATGCCTCTTTTCCAGTAAAACTACACTCACTACAAAATTTTGCTTAAAAATTTTATTCATTTGTTAAATCATCATTAATTTAATAATCTCATCATCTACATCATCATTATCATTACAACCTTTCACAAGTCCACTGCTGAACATATACCTCCCCCATGGAATGTCACAAAGCATTGTTCTGAGCCATCTGCATCTATTGGCTTCCTGTATGTCTTACCAGGTCGTCGTTCCATCTAGTATGTGGAGCACACAGAAATTAAATATTTGTGAGTATAAATATTAAATAGACAAAATCGTGGCAATGACGAGATGCACATCATCCATGTTTAAAAGATCTACGTTGAATGAATACATAGGAATATATAAACGTGTCGTGCTCGTCGCTCGTGCCGATATGTAAACGTATCATATGAGTACCCGTTTTTATAATGGTGCCTTATAATGTTTTATTAATTTTGTGAATCGCATTTACAGCTGACGCCTATAGAGAAGTACGCGATGCGGCTGGTGGAGAGCAGCGAGGCGGCGACGGAGGCGGAGCGCGCGGCGCTCGGCGAGATGCGGCGCCAGCTGCGCGAGTGGGAGCGCGCGCGCCGGGCGCTGCGCGACGAGCCCGAGCCCGCGCCCGCGCCCGAGCCCGAGCCCGAGCCCGAGCTCACGTACTGCCGCAGCGACGCGCGCGTCAAGGTGCGTTCCCGCAGACGCCGCGGAGCGCCGGGCGCGCCGGCCACGCCGCCGTCGCCGCCGCCGTCGCCGCCGCCCGCGTCCCCGCCCCCGCCGCCGCCGCCGCCGCCGCGGGCGCGCGCCACGCCGCGCACGCGGTCGCGCGGCACGGTGCACATCAACCTGTGGACGCTGGACGAGCAGCGCTGCGCGCGCCGCCGCCCGCTGCGCAACGGCACGCTCGACTCCTGGCTCGCGTCCGCCTCGCCCCCGCCCGACGAAAACAATAAATGACTTTGTACAACTTACCCGGCGTTTATATTTCTGACGTTCGACGTTTTGGTGCCGCTCGATTTCGTCCGTAAATGCTTGTACTCTCACTGTTGGTCCGGTGCTTGCGCGAGATGCCACCAAAACGGCGACGCCGCCCCGAACGTCAGGGATGTAACGCGCACCAAGCATTTACGGGCGAAGCCGAGCGCCGCCGCCCGCTCCCTCGGCCTCGCCCCCTTCCCGGTAGACGATAAATGCATTGACAAAAAATTTGCTGATACACGACTAGGAAAATAAATCGAATTCTACATATAGAAATAAATACAAAAACAACTAATTCATAAGCACGAGAGAAAACTTAAACATCAAAAAGTAGTATTGATTTATAATCTTCATATCGCAAACTGTTAAGGAGTACTATAGAAATACATTTAACACTGATTTAATGAAATAAACAAAAGCTAAAATTTCTATAATACACTTATTAAAGTATATCAGATAGTATAAAATATACTCTACTAAACTGACAATTTTATTTAATAGAAACACTGAAAGCATATGAATTTAACAATGATACTGCATAAAAGTAAATATATATCGATAACAGCTAGATTTGAACTGGTTTATCGAAAAAATGCAACGCCATACCAACCGCTTTATGTCTAAATACCTTGGTAGCGAAATGGCTAAGCGTTACGGGCTTAATTCCTTCGCAAATAGAATGTTTAACTTTTCAAAATACTGTAAATTCTGTTAACCCATTCACTGTCCCGTGTACTACATATATTACATAGTGAAAGTATTAAAATACAATCTTTTTATCTTGCATTCTCATGACATTAATTAAAATAATTATTAAATCCAGTGTGGACCCAGCAGACCTTTGTTGTTTCAAGATTGAGAAATATTAAAAAATGTCAAAAAGAAAAGAAGAAAGAAATGGTGAAATTTTGCCGCACCTATTTGTACATCGGAAGTGCAATAAATCCCGATTGGTGTAAAGTGTCAGCGTACGAGATTTAATGACGTCTATAGTTCTGAAGTGTGTGAATAAACTTTAAGGAAAAAAGGAAACATATTCAGTTAGAAATTTTCCGCCACGAATGAGTATAAGTGCCTAAGTTTAAATTGGCATTCAAAGGTTTTATATGGTTTTAAATGCAGATTGGCATTTTCAGTTTCATTGTTTATTACTAGTGGAAGTAGTATTTGGATAGTTTAATAAAAAGCTTGCAATATAGAATATTGATGAATTGAGTAAGTATAATTAGTTGTTTTATATTTAAATCATTTTTTATTATACGATATTACAAAAATCACGCACCTTTATACTTATTAGATATGTTCAAATGTGTTTAAATCTCATTCGTCTATCGGTATGAATGCTTGGTGAATAGGTAGGCTTGGTTAGATGTGTTCGATTTAGTCATGGCAGTTATTTTATCCTTTGATTTATTGTCGCAGGTATGGGTGAACGGTTCTGGTGCTCCGGAGAAGATGCCGGTGAGTAGTTTAGTTTCACGTGTGCGTGCGTGCGTGCGTGTGTGCGTGCGTGCGTGCGTGTGTGTGTGTGTGTGTGTGTGTGTGTGTGTGTGTGTGTGGATATAGTGATAATTGAGGATGTGTGGTGTGTGTGGCAGATGTGGTGTCCTCCGACGCCGCCGTCGAGCGAGGGCGACGTATACTGCGAGAGCTGGGCGCGCGCGCTGTACCGGCGCGGCGCGGCCGCCGAGGCGCTGCTGCCCGCCGTGGCGCGGCGCGCGGGCGACGCGCGGACTGCGCGCGAGCCGCGCCGCCTCCGCGTGGCGCCGCGCTCCGCGCCCGCACCGCCCTCGCTGTTCGCGCGCTGCGGCGCCGGCGCCCGCGCCCGGCCGCGCGCGCGCCCGCCGCCGCCGCACCGCGACGCGCCGCAGCCCGAGTGGGCGGCCGGCGAGGACGCGGCGCTGCGGCGCGCACTGCGCCTGCAGCGCCTGCCGCCCGAGCCGCCCGCCACGCACGCCGCGCACGCAGCCCTCGCGCCCAACTGGGACTGGGCCGCCGACCTGGTGAACGAGGCGGCGCGCTGCTACCGGTCGCCGCGCGCCTGCCGCGACCGCCACGACGCGCTCGCCGACCCGGAGCGCGAGCGCGCGCGCCGCAAGCACCGCAAGCCGGCGCCGGCGCGCCGCCGCCAGGACGACGACGCGCCGCGCCCGCCGCTGCCGCGACTCGACGCCATGCGCGACGCCGCCGAACGCCGCCGCGCCGCGCCCAAGCGCCGCCTCGACGACGCCGCGCACCGCAACCCCAAGCACCACGCGCTGCTCGCCGACCACGGCGTCGACTACGATGCGCCGCCCACGCCCATGGAGGTGGCCACGCGCCGCGCCGAGCGCATCGCCAAGGAGAAGATGAAGGCGGGCGCCGCGGCGAGCGCCGCCGCGCCGCAGCCCGCTCCCGCCGCGCCCCAGCGCATTGTGGTCGCGGCGGGCGGCCCGTCGGCCGCGGCCACGGTGGCGGTGAGCGCCGCGAGCGGGACGGCGGCAGCCAAGGCAGACGCGGCGAGACGCACACCAACCGCCGGTAGCCAGCTACTATACCGGCAACAGGCGCTAGCTGCACGCCACCACCTCAAGATCCTGCACCACGCCGCCGTACCGCACGCACAGGTCCTATATTCATTCAATATTCTTGCGAAAGACCATAGACTCAATTAAACAAATGTGTGAAACGTGATCTCTAAACAAAAACATCGATACTTACGATTTCGAGTACAAGTGTACCTTCATGTTTACCATTCGTCTAATTGTTTTGACCACCTACAATGACATGTTTTTTTTTTTGCTAAAGATTACCATCTGCACCGTCTGTGATTCCTTAACTTCGAAAAACTATCTAAAATATCACTTTTATAAACAGTAATGTCAAAAGTCGACTCAATCACAGAAAGATAAATAATGTAACAGAGATATGAGTGCGATGAAAAGAGAATATTTCCGTACACATTGCTTTTTCCAGATCAAATTTGATCACGGTGGTCATTTTCAATCAATATAATTATAATGATTATAATGCATAAATATGTGTGGAAACACATTTGCGTTACCTATTTTCTTTCTTACATAGTCCTATTAGATGGCTTTTATTTAATAACGTTAGTATCAATGGCTCAAATTTTCTGACCCCAGACTATATTATTGAAAATTTCTTGATGGAATAAATTAATAACTAATTTTGACCTGACTGGAAATTGTAACCCGTGACAACATGATCAGCAATTGTGTAGACTAAAGAAGCAGTTTTATTGTTCTTAAAAAACTAGTTATTTACAATCAATTTTTTTTTATACATTGATGTTTTTTATTTCCCCATCCCTTTTCAACCATTCGGTTTAGATTTACGTAATTTTCTTTCATAGTTTATTTTTTCAAGCGGAAATTTGTTTGTGAGATGCCTTCATGATTCAGAAGTGATTTTGATTGGTTTATATACTTAACGATGGATGAAGTGTAAAGGTGCAAGTTCTGTCGTTTAGGGCGCGGCGAGCGGCGGTGGAGGGAGCGGCGGAGGCGGCGGTGGCGGCGGCGAGGGCGCGGCGCTGCGCGCGCTGCAGCTGCAGCAGCTGGCGCTGCGCCGCGCCGCGCCCGCGCGCCCGCACCTGGTGCTGGCGCAGCTCGCGCACGCGCCGCCCGCGCAGCCCGCGCCCGCCGCGCCGCCCGCGCCCCCGCCGGCGCCGCGGCTCCCGCACTCTGACGCCCATCAACAATAAACTATTTGCTACTGAACCTCACCGTTTTATTTCATACCACACCTACTCTACTACTTTCCTTCATGCAGAATACCACAATTCCAATCTGTTAAACAAAGGGTAAAATAACCACTTACAGCCGCAAAAACACACTAGTCGACGATGCCGCGTCGTTCAATGCACTGTTAATTACTTCCGACGCGCCCCGCTCGCAACCAACTCCGCTCGCGCGAACGTCAAACCGGTACGAATGCACCGCGCCGAGCGCCTTCTTGCGTTAATTCTTGAAATTAGCGTTTGGCGCGAATATTATGTGTTAAAAATATAGAGTTGCTGCTGTTTAAAATATAGAATGTGTTCGCGCCAAACGCTGTTGTCGGAATCGACGTCTAGGGCGCGCGCGGCTCTGGGCCATACCGGTTTTTGACGTCGGCCGAGCGGTGGGCTGAGAACGCGTAAAGACGAAGTAGCGTCTGCTAGCTGTGCTAATGTCTGCACGCTGTCAATTTTTGTTAGGGAACTCGGAATAATTAGGCGCGGCCCGTAAATATACGGTCTAGTATTTTGTGACGCGCATTCCTGCTGGAGAGCTTCCCAGGGACTCATTGTGTCCGACTCAGAATCTGCATAGGTGCATTCGGCAATATTAGCTAGTGCGGCGTTAATATTCTAGAACTAACTGTTGCTACGCGAAACGGTAGTGACCTTTGATCCGTAAACTCCGTGTGCGTTTTGTGCGTTAACCTTATACCCAGCGATAGTTAGTGGCTTCTGTAAGTTAGTTAATCGTGACGAACTAGGAAAGTGACTGTGGACAACGCCTCGGAAGGCCCCCTCAAGTTAGAGCGGTGTCGACGCTCGGGCTGCTGCCGACGGCCAAGGTCTAGGTTCAATCACTATCAGTCACACCTAGATACACATCACATCACCTTATTTCTCTTGCACTACACAAACACATACGACCAGACCGACTCCGGAGGGACCAGGCGCCTTGGATATAGGTAAGTAAGCTCTAGGGATGGGCAAGGGAAAAAAATATATTCAGTCACACCTAGATACACATCACATCACCTTATTTCTCTTGCACTACACAAACACATACGACCAGACCGACTCCGGAGGGACCAGGCGCCTTGGATATAGGTAAGTAAGCTCTAGGGATGGGCAAGGGAAAAAAATATATCGAATCTATATTTTTAATCAGTATCGATATATATCGCGTGAAAAATATCGATATATCGTCAACATTTGCATGACGTAAAGATAAGGTCAAAAATTTTATTTACTGACGGTTGGACGACGAAAAAAACGATACAACATTTTAAAATGTATCGAAATTGATACGAATTCGATACTCTAAAAATAAATATCGATATATCGCGTTTTTAAATATCAACGATATATATCGATATTTTTTGCCCAAGCCTAGTAAGCTCCGTCTGATTCCTCTGCCGGTCGACTGGCCGTAGTATAGAACGCTCCCCCATATATTTTAGTGTAATTAGAGAAATTACACGTGGCCACATTGAGGCCCGACCTACGTCTGCTCGGGAAGTCTTCTGCTCATGGGCCCCGGAGGATTTGACCCTTTAAGGGAGCAGCCGTAGGCCGTAACAGAATGATTTCAATAATCTTGTTGATTTTGATATTTTGCAAAGAAAAAAGTCACATTGATGATTTACATGATGTTGGTAAATATATTTTTATACAAAATATTATTTTACATGTACGCTAGAGATTGACTCAACTAAATTAAAATTAATGTCGATATTTATCTTGAATACTCATAATGAATCGATAGACTTACCCACACAATAAGAAAATAAATTCTCCATTTGCGTTCTAAAATGCAATTTTATTTTGCCGTTTGTCACACAGATTCCCTCCGGATTCTATAATTAGAAAAAATGGTTAAGGTTAATGGGATGGATTGATTGGAATCCAAAAAACTCAAACATTTACAGCAAAATTTTTCTTGAGAATTATAAACGAAAAAGTAGAATAAAAACAATTTTATTAAAAGGAATCGTTTCTACATTATTTGTACGAGTAAGTATAATCAATAATATTGTTATAGTAAGACTTCAAAAATTTAACTTTCAAAACTTAAGATAAAATAGATACAATAGATACAGATTTTTATACATTGTTAAACTGTTGTACATTAAAGATAAAAAATCTTGAGATTGTCCTCTTCAACATGTCTCTTTTCAACAGTGGTAGAGCCATGCGGCAGCTTTTGCTGTCGCACGGATGGGCCGGCTCGAACCGGGGTGGTACCACGACCTCACAGAAAACCAGCGTGAAGTAGAGGTTTACCTCTGCGTTTCGCTTGGTGAGTGCAGGTGGCCAGAGGCCCTTTTTACTGGAAATGAGGCATTCCATCTTAGTCCTCACGGGTGACAACGCATCTACATTTTGATATGTAATAGAGGATAGATGTAGATGTCTATGGGCCGCAGCAACCACTTACCATCAGGTGGACTGTGTGCTCGTTTGTCACCCTTATCCTATAAAATAAGCCATTATGAACCCAACTAAGTATATTTATCAACCAAAATAAATATATAACCTTACTTAACCATCTGCACAGCCTCACGTTCACACTAGTACAATATTCATATCATCACGCTATTTTCCCCAAGGGTTTGAGCGGATCTTCGGATTATATTCCCAAGTCGCAATGATAAAACTAAGCGTAGTTAGATATAATATATTTATTGATGCTCCTGTAGCACCACCATACGCCCGTTGGTTTATAGTTATTATTTCTTGTGAAACCCATATAAAGACTAGCGATAATTTGGCGGAAATATACCGGGGGAATTTAAGTATATTCCATAGTGACCTTTTTGTTGTAAAGTGAAGAGGAAGCATAGACTAAATTAATTTATCGACAACGTTTTTATTTCCCTAAAAATTACCAACTTAGTTAGATCTATGGTCAAGCCAAAGAGTATAGTAAGTCAGGCCAAAGACATTTTTTTAATGAAGGTAAATATAACTTACTAAGTTCTTATCCAATATCAACAATTAAAATATCGCATTATTTGTATGAAGGTCAATTGAGCGCTAGAGAAATGCCGATTGAAAGACGTTGTCCATAAATAAAATGTTTTGAGAAGTTATCAATTACCGTGTAGTGGTGTCGTATGAATATCCATACTATCCCGTGGGTCTCGTAAGAGGCGACAGGAGTTGGGATTATTTTTAAATAACCGTGACCGTCGTTCCGGTTACCAAAAATCATTATGAATTTGTCACGTTGATAAAGTTGGATAAATGTTTGGAACATTAGAACGACTTAAAACGTGACTTTATATATGATTTAGTAATAGGTTTTATTTTAGTACTAGCTGTTCCCCGCGACTTCGTTCGCGTGTTAGGGTTTTTATGTAATACCTTTATACCTAATACTACCTACCTAATACTTTTTCTAAAATAAAAGTAGCCTAAGTTACTTCTTATGAAATCAGCTATCTGCCAGTGAAAGTCCAGTAAAAATCGGTCCAGCCGTTTCGGAGATTACCCGGAACAAACAGACAGACAGACAAAAATTTTAAAATTGTATTTTAGTTATACGTACCGTATTTACTTTCATATGCATTTAGTAAAAAACTTTAATTTTGACATTACAAACAGACACTTCAATTTTATTTATTTGTATAGATTAGATTTCTTATTACCTTCCTTACTTAAGCTACGTGGCTATGTTATAAGTTGTATAATATAAATTATTTACACCATCTTTAATCAGTTCTTCTTTCGAACTGCGAACTGCAAAGTAGCGAAATTCTCGAAAAAATGTTTTTTACTACCCAAAATTTTAGGGTTTTAGTGCAATTTTAATGTGAATTGTGGCTGCAAATCACAAATGATTCATGATGAATAATCGTATAGATTGTATAAATTGAGTATACTTAAAGATTTAGGATCTAAAGCACATAATGTTTAATAATTATTCTTTATGACCGTACTAGGTTTTAAACAAAAACTAATTTGTTTTTTACTACCTAATACATCTTTAAAGAAACTAGAATTATGCTTTACTACCTAGAAATATGAAGATTAATCTTATACGCCTTCTATTTGGAAACTAAATTGTACTTTACCACTAGTAACAACAGCAAACAGATAATCGAAAATATACAACCCAACCAAAATTATTAATTAGTCTTTCTCATTTATACAATTTCCGAAAAGGACGAAGCCAGACGACCGACAACCTAGACAGGAGCGCTAGGCAGAGACAGAACTATGTGGAATGTTTTTTGATTACCTTCATCGCGAGCACAGAGTAAAGAGGACCAGAGGGGAAGCTTCTTAACAACGTCGAAAATGTATACCTATTCTAATAGGGTTGTCACATGTTGCATGTGAAAATTTGAAGGAAAATATAAAAATATAGTATAACATAAGACAACATGTGTATTAATTATAACTTATATTAATGTAACAACATATCCTATCTTCAACGGGAATTATCACCAATGGGTTCCGTTCAAAGATCTATTTACGGAATGCATTCATAACAATCGCTCCCTTTCCAGTGCTCAAAAAATGCAGTTTTTAAAGAGCAAGGTCAGGGGAGAGGCGGAGCGGCTGATACAACACCTACAGATCAGCTCGGATAATTATATTATCTGTTGGGACATTTTAAACAACCGATACAATAACCCGAAACTTATATTCACTTCTCACATGAACATATTAATGAGTTTGCCAGTTCCCCATCAAGCATCAGTGACCAACATCAAGAAAATTCACGACACTACGCAGGAATGCTTAAATGCAATAAAAAACCTAGGAATTGACATAAGCACCTGGGATCCGATTATTGTTTACCTGTTGACTCAAAAACTCGATAACGAAACTCATCATGATTATGTTCAATCTTTGAAATGTCCCCGGGAACTGCCAAAATTACAAGAATTTCTCAAGTTTTTGGAACAAACATTTACGTCGATGGAGTCTGGACGTAGAAAACAAGACAACACTCATCAAAAATCACACATTCCAAG